TGACATTTTTGGGGTTTATCTTTTACTTAAGTTGCGACTGTCCCACTATAGCGGCATTAATCCCGCTCTGGCGGCTTGCGCGAAGACAGAACGTCAGAATTAGAGTCTCAAACCCCAATTTCACAACACACCTTCAACCTATGACATTCAAAAACAACATGTTCACGCTAAGATCAGTTTTGGGAGTTCTACTCGCCCGAATTTGATTCCATAAAGTTGGACGGGTTCCTTTACGTCTTAGCTATCTACTCATGTGATCAAATTCATAATTAGATTCTCATTCATTACCAGATTTTCCTAGACCCCACTGACTCAGATTTCATCCAAATTTGGACTAGGCTAGGAATTTCCAAGTTACTACCTAAAAGTTTTCTGGCTCCAATTCTTTCCCCCATTGGCGTTTCCCTAACAACAGAATTAGGTCATTACAATAGATACCAATTTACCCATTACTCATCACCGAGTGATCAACGAGGAAAGACTGGCTAAAGTAAGGGTAAAGTAGTATCAGAATCATCGAACAACTGGGGAAACTTGTCTCGCATGTCCCTCTCGATTTCCCAAGTGGGTTTCTCAACTAGGCGATGCTTCCATTGAACTTTCACGAACTTAATCTCCTTGGTCCTTAGCCTCCAGACATCACGATCAAGAATTGCAATCGATTTCTCCTCATACTGAAGGTCTTTGTCTAACACAACTGAGTCTCATTTTATGATGTAATCCCCGTCAGCATGATATCTCTTCAACATGGACACATGAAATACCGGATGAACTCTCGCTAAGTTAGGAGTTAAAGCCAATCTATAGACCACTGGCCCTACATAGTCAAAATCTCAAATGCCCCATGTATCGAGGACTAAGCTTTCCCTTTTTGTCAAATCTCATCACCAAATCAACCCCCAAAAGTTTCACATTTTCAACCTCAAACCAACCAATTGAATACCTACGCATCCTCACATACACTGCCTCAATGAAGTCATTATAATACTCAAGTAATAAATATTGTAGTATGTAAACTTAACTAACAACAAAGCTATTCCCAATAACCACCAAAGTTGATCTCACACACTCCTGCAACATGTTAACAAGGACCTTGACACAATCATCAGGACGAATCCTTTCTCACATAAGCAGGATAAAATTCTAAATCAATCATTGCTACAATTAGAAGTGAAACTGAACCAACCAACACACACTCATAATACCCAAACATCATAGTTCTTATCAACATCTCCATCTCACAACATAAATTATCATGAGCTTAAGTTATAAAAATTTGATCTTTAGACATTAGATACTCATCGAGGGATATGTCCCAGCATACAAACACTCTAACAATACTATCAAAATTCTAGATTTAGTAATTGATTGTAGATAACCCTTAAGAACAGTCGAATTGGACCCAATGATCCTGTAACGACCCTAAAAATGAACTAGTGAAACTATAGCCTAACATGTGTGCGTTTGTGGTTGTCTTGAGTCTTGATGGTGTTTCATGTTGTTCCAAGACTTGGTTGAGGGATTGAAGGGTTTATGGGCTTAGGGGTCCAACGTCAAGGTACGACTCCCCAAGGACCACCCTAAGGGTCCTTGAGGAGGAACTTAAGTCTAACCCCAAGGCTGCCCCAAATGGCCAAAGTTAGCCAAAATTGGGTGAACTACGAAAGGGGTCCACGCCCTGTGGATGGCCTCCTTAGGTTAGGCCCCTACAAACCATGCCACATCCCCAGACCACGGGTCAACAGCACGGTACGTGAGTCTAGGGCGTGAATGGCCACTATGTTGTTGTCAAGTGACCCTGCCAACTTAAGGGTGAATTGGTAAATTCACCCCAAGTCCAAATAAATGTGTGGACGGTTATTTTAAATGTTTTAACGTATTTTAAGATTATCAAAACATTAGAAAGCTATTTTAGAACTCATTATTCATTTTTCCTCAAAAAAAAAACCCTTCCCTCCTAAAAGTTCTCTCTAGAAACTCCATTGGAGATCAAGGTCAAGAGTAAGATAGGGTTGGGGATTTCAAGGTGTTTGTTCTTCAATTACATGGGATTCTTCAAGTATAAGGTATGGTTATACGTCATCTAGGTTTAGTTTTCACCCTAGAGTCAATTTCAAGGAAGTTTCTAAGTTTTCAAGTTTCATGAAAAACCCTGGGTTTTTACTCAATCTCATGGGTTCTTGCATCAAACGTTTTCAAATGATAAACTATGATTATATTGATGTTTAATTTATTATTTAAGATGAAAATACTCAATGAACACTTGATTTCTCTCAACTTTCAAATTGTGCCTTATGAAGTGGGTTTGTTGATTATGAATGAATGTTGATGGTAAATTGTGCCTAGATTGATTTAGATTATTGATTTGTATCATCATCTATGTCTAATTATGGTTAATTGTTGGTGAATTGAGGAATTGTGATCATAGCCTTGAAAGGGAAAGTTTGACCTAATTTCATGTTAATGTAGAATTGTGCTTGAATTGTTGATCCACTTGAAAGGTGGGGGTGTTTACTTACTATGTAAATTACAATTACATCCTTGAAGGTATAGTGTGATGAATTGAAGTATTATCATGATGTTGTATAATGTGAAGGATTTACATGTGATTCAATGATAGAATGATGATCTTGTATTCAAGGTATTTGTGTTAGTATTGAAAGGCTATTTCTCAATTTGACACTCATGAATGAAAATGATGGAATGTGAAGGGTTCCTATAATGTGGATGTTGAATCTAGAATTAGTAGGCATTATGCATCATTTTCTTATATAACGAATGTCTCTTGACTTGATGAATATGAATCGATAGGCTATGGCATTCCTTCCATATATGAGTGATGAATGTGTCTTGACTTGATGACTACGAATTGATAGGCATTATGCATTCTTTTCATAAATGATCTAATGTAATATATGAAGACTCTAGAATCGATAGGCTAGTCGCATTCCTTTCTTAATGAGTCAATGTACCATGAATCGATAGGCTAATGGTATTTCTTTCATGAGTGTAAGAATGTAATAAGGGAACATGAATCGATAGGCTTATAGCATTTCTTTCATATGGACCCTAGAGTTATCCTTGAATGTACCATGTATCAATAAGCTTATAGCATTCCTTCCTTGGTAATGATGTATCATGGGTCGATAGGCCTATGGCATTTCTCCCCAATACATTAATATAATGTGAATGAAATAATCTATGGGAATGTAGGCTAATCACCGAATGGATATGGTAAGATGGAAACTCTCCCAATGTTAGGTTAGAGTTCGAATGAACATCTTCCTATCCCATAACTATGTGCCCACATAGGATATTAGCTAGCGGATTCTATCCGAGCTAATGTTAACCGGTTTACCTTAGGCAAGTAGACCAACCCTTAGATGTGGGATAGTACGTCAGATTCCATGAACTAGCTCTCATGGTCTATGTCGATTAAACGCTTATTCCCATCATGTGATATGTGCACTCTAGTTTCTTGATAGGTACTACGAAATGTAGGTAGTAGTATGGGATGCTATCTATACATTACACGAGTAAGCTTTGAAAGGGCTGTAGTGAGTTCTCTAAGTCTTAAATGACTTAATGTATGAAGTCCTCTAAATGCATGAATGTGTCCTAAATGAACCTAACGAAAAATGTTGGCTCAAATGCTTAGATGTAAAGATGTATGATGTACTTGGATTGTATTATAAGTTCCTTCCTTGTCATATCTTATTGTATATGAATGTGCCTTGTCTATGGTGACTTCAAAGGATTACTTAGTGTGAGGTAGTAGTATGGGATGCTACTTGCACATTTCACAAGTATGACTGAGAGTTGCCTTAGATGTTGGTCATAATGTGATGATGTGATTCATATGATATTTATGTGACTTATATGCTCTATCTTGTAAAGGTGAGAAGGATGAATGGTAAGTTCACTTTTGGTGACCTCAAGGTGGTGCCTTAGTGTGGATGGTGGTATGGGATGCTATCCATGCATTACACAAGGCATAGCTTGAGCGTTACTAAGGTGGAGGCTCAAGGTGAAGCTAAAGGGTTATATAAGATTTTTCTCAAATGTGAATTATGTGACTTTGTATGTTGGTTGTGACTTATATTATGCCTCTTGTATCAATGTTTCATGAAGTTTTACAAAAATGGCATAAAGCATGACTTTCAACAATATGTCCCTTTTAAAGCATGTTTTTGCATGGTCAACGTACTTAGTACATTTCTGTTTGCTAACCTATATTTCTCTTATTTTTACTACAAGTGTAGGTTCTAACAAGTAATTGCATTCTCTAGTGAAGCTTGGTATTAGAGTTCTCTCAAGACCCCTTTTGGTATGTCCTCATACGTCGAGGACAAGGACTTTTATTGTTTCTAGTTCTTATATTTTAATACTTTTGTCTATACTTCGATTGTAAAAGGCCGTGAACCTATTTTGTTAAAGTTTGTCTAAGTTGGCCATGTGAGACTTAGTATTCCGCTGCTTTATAAATGAGATTTTGATAGTTTGGTTTTAAATAAGTTTTAATTCTGTACTATTTCTATATGTCTAATGTATTGAATGCTAAGAGGTTTGTATTAGAGTGAAGTTCTATAAGTGTCCTTTCGTATTCTTGAAGTCGTGCCTTAGAGTGAAATTCTATAAGTGTCCTTTTCCTAATCCTTCTCTTGTGTTTATAGGATATGAATACAAGAAGGACTCCCGCAAGGAGAGTGGTAGAGGAAGTGGTGAATGAGGTAGTTCCTCCCCAAGGTGATCAAGGTCTTCAAGGTGACCAAGTGCCTCAAGAGAATGAAGTGCTAGTGGTTCCCCCGGACATGACTAATGAAGAGATTAGGATGGCTTCGCTAACCCAAACTGGAGCCATAACATCTCAAGCGAATAGAGATGTGGGGCCTTGGGTGAATGATAATGAGAGTACCATGTCCTCAAGATTAAGAGACTTTGTGAAGATGAATCCTCCTATTTTTCTTGGCTCTAAAGTGGGATAAGATCCCCAACAATTCATGGATGAAGTTTATAAGATAGTAGATGTTATGGGTGTAACTTCTAGGGAGAAGGCGGAGTTGGCTTCCTACCAATTGAAAGATGTGGCCCAAGTGTGGTTCACTCAATGGAAATCCAATAGGCCAGTAGAAGTGGGTCCAATAAAATGGGAGGAGTTTAAGGGAGGTTTCCTCGGTAAGTACTTTCCCCATGAGAAAAGGGAGTGTAAGATTGAGGAGTTTATAAACCTTAGGCAAGGTAACATGAGCGTGGAGGAGTATTCCTTGAACTTTACCCTATTCTCTAAGTATGCTCCATCATTGGTGTCTAACCCTAGAGATGAGATGAGTAGGTTTGTTACCGGTGTATCCGACCTAATTACCGAAGAGTGTCGTACGGCAATGCTCCATGATGATATGAATATCTCTAGACTTGTTGTGAATGCTTAGTCTATTGTGGAATCCAAACTTAAGAGGGTGAATAGGGATTTGAAGAGGGGTAGATCCGATGAGCAAGGTCAACCTAGGTTCAAGAAGATAGCTCCTAACCAAGATTCTTCAAGTGCTTCTAAGGCTAATAAGGGGAAAGGTGGAGGATCTCAACTTTTTAAGCCTCTTTGTGCCACTTGTGGGAAGAGGCATCATGGGAAGTGCCTAGCCGGTACTAGTGGGTGCTATGGGTGTGGCAAAAGTGATCATCAAGTGAGAAACTGTCCTACTCTTACGACTAGAGGAATGGAGGCAAAACAAGCTCCTTATGTTGGTCGGGATCCCAATGCTCCAAAGAAGAACCGTTTCTATGTGCTTCAAGCTAACAAGGACAAAGGAGCTAATCTGGATGAAGGTACTGGTAAGTTATAGTTCCTTTTGTGGTGATGAGATCCTTATGTTGTTTCATTATAGCCTTAGTTGGGTTTTCTCCTAAGTGGGGGATGGTTTGTGAATAGTAAGGTTGTTGAGAGTGTTGATATCCTTATCTCTTTTCCTTCTATTCTGATTCAAGCTTGTGACCAAGAGTTCCTTGTAGCTTGTTAAATGTTTTGGAGTCATGTGTGATATTGAGTTTCCATGGTCTCTTTATGTTATGCATGTTCTAGTTGAATTCTTGTTTAAATGAGAAAAATGGGTTTTTGAATTGTGTTCCTCATGTTAATATGCGTCTATGATGAGCTGCCTAAATGTTTCATGAGTTGACTTGTTGAGCATTCCTAAATGTGCTTTTATGAGAAAATTGCATAATGTGCCTATTAATGTTATAATGAGAATGATGTGATTTGGAGATGGAATTTCTTCCAATGAAATGAGAAATAAGATGTTTTTATGCATAATGAGTATGTAGATGTAGTTCCTACCTTCTTGTTGTGCTTTGAGCTTATTGATATGGAGTCGATGTTTCCTCCTATGTTTATGCATTTATATTGATGTTGCATGCATGATTGTGGGCTGCTAGTCTAGAGTCGTTACCCCCTATTGTGTTTAAAGTGTCATTCGAGAAAAAATGTTCCTAAGTGGGGTATAATGTAACGACCCTAAAAATGAGCTAGTGAAACTAGAGCCTAACATGTGTGCGTTTGTGGTTATCTTGAGTCTTAATGGTGTTTCATGTTGTTCCAAGCTTTGGTTGAAGGGTTTAGGGGTGCAACGTCAAGGTACGACTCCCCAAGAATAAATCCTAAGGGTCCTTTAGGAGGAACCTAAGTCTAACCTCAAGGTTTCCCCAAATGGCCAAAGTTGGCCAAAATTGGGTGACCTACGGATGGGGTCCACGCCCCATAGGTCCATCCACGCCCCGTGGATGGCCTCCGTGGGTCAGGCCCCTCCAAACCATGCAACAGCCCCAGACCATGGACCAACAGCACGGTCCGTGAATGGACTCACGTCCGCGAGTCTAGGGCGTGAATGGCCACTGTGTTGCTGTCAAGTGACACGGCCAACTTAGGGGTGAATTGGTAAATTCACCCCAAGTCCCAATTAATGTGTGAACGGTTATTTTAAGTGGTTTAAGGTATTTTAAGAGTATTAAAACATTATAAAGCTATTTTAGAATTCATTATTCATTTTTCCCCAAAAACAAAACACTTCCCTCCTAAAAGTTCTCTCTAGAAATTCCATTGGAGATCAAGGTCAAGAGAAAACTAGGGTTGCAGATTTCAAGGTGTTTGTTCTTCAATTTCGTAGGATTATTCAAGTATAAGGTATGGTGATCCTTCATATAATGTTAGTTTTCACCCTAGAGTCAATTTCAAAGAAGTTTCTAAGTTTACAAGTTTCGTGAAAACCCCGTAGGTTTTTACTCAATCTCATGGGTTCTTGCATCAAACATTTTCAAATGATAAACTATGATTATATTGTTGTTTAATTGATGATTTAATATGAAAATACTCTATCAACCCTTGATTTCTCTCAATTTCTAAATTGTGCCTTATGAAGTGGGTTTGTTGATTATGAATGAATGTTGATGAATTTATGCCTAGATAGATTTAGATTATTGATTTGTATCATCATCTATATCTAATTATGGTTAATTGTTGGTGAATTGATAAATTGTGATCATAGCCTTGAAAGGGAAAGTTTGACCTAATTTCATGTTAATGTAGAATTGTGCTTGAATTGTTGACCCACTTGAAAGGTAGAGGTTACTTACTTTGTACATTGTGATCATGGCCGTGAAGGCATAATGTGATGAATTGAAGTATTATCATGATGTTGTATAATGTGAAGGATTTACATGTGATTCAATGATAGAATGATGATCTTGTATTCAAGGTATTTGTGTTAGTATTGAAAGGCTATTTCTCAATTTGACACTCATGAACGAAAATGATGGAGTGTGAAGGGTTCCTATAATGTGAATGTTGAATCTAGAATTGGTAGGCATTATGCATCCTTTTCTTATATAATGAATGTGTCTTGACTTGATGAATATGAATCGATAGGCTATGGCATTCCTTTCATATATGAGTGATGAATGTATCTTGACTTGATGACTATGAATTGATAGGTTTTATGAATTCTTTTCATAAATGATCTAATGTAATGAAGACTCTAGAATCGATAGGTTAGTGGCATTCCTTTCTTAATGAGTCAAAGTACCATGAATCGATAGGCTAGTGGCATTCATTTCATGAGTATAAGACTGTAATGAGGGACCACGAATCGATAGGCTTATAGCATTCCTTTCATATGGACCCTAGAGTTATCCTTGATTGTACCATGGATCGATAGGCTTATAGGATTCCTTCCTTGGTAATGATGTATCATGGGTCGAGAGGCCTAGGGCATTCCTCCCCAATATACTAATATAATGTGAATGAAATAATATATGGGAACGTAGGCTATGTACCGAGTGGATATGGTTGGATGGAAACTCTCCCAATGTTAGGTAAGAGTTCCAATGAACATCTTCCTATCTCATAACTATGTGCCCACATAGGATATTAGCTAGCAGATTCCATCCGAGCTAATGTTAACCAGTTTACCTTAGGCAAGTAGATCAACCCTTACGATGTGGGATAGTACATTGGACTCCATGATCTAGCTCTCATGTTCTATGTCGGTTAAACGCTTAGTCCCATTATGTGAGATGTGCACTATAGTTTCTTAATAGGTACTACAAAGTGTAGGTAGTAGTATGGAATGATATCTATACAATGCACAAGCAGCCATTGAAAGGGCTATAGTGAGTTCTCTAAGTCTTAAATGACTAAATGTATGAAGTCCTCTAAACGCATGAATTTGTCCTAAATGAACCTAATGAAGAATGTTGTCCCAAATGCTTAGATGTAAAGATGCATGCTATACTTGGATTGTATTATGAGTTACTTCATTGTCATATCTTATTGTATATGAATGTGCCTTGTCTATGGTTACTTCAAAGGAGTACTTAGTGTGAGTAATAGTATAGGATACTACTCTCACATTGCACAAGTATGACTTAGAGTTGTCTTAGATGTTGGTCTTATTGTGATGGTGTGATTCATTTGATGTTTATGTAACTTATATGCTCTATCGTGTAAAACTGAGAAGGATGAATGATAAGTTCACTTTTGGTGACCTCAAGGTGATGCCTTAGTGTGGGTGGTGGTATGGGACGATATCCATACATTGCACAAGGCATAGCTTGAGGGTTACTAAGGTGGAGGCTCAAGGTGAAGGTAAAGGGTTATATATGTGATTTTGCTCAAATGTTAATTATGTGACTTTGTATGTTGGTTGTGACTTATATTATGCCTCATGTATCAATGTTTCATGAAATTTTACAAAAATAGCATAAAGCTTGACTTTCAACAAAATGTCCCTTTTAAAGCATGTTTTTGCATGGTCATCATACTTAGTACATTTTTGTGTGCTAACCCATATTTCTCTTATTTTTACTACAAGTGTAGGTTCTAGCAAGTGATTGCATTCTCTAGTGAAGCTTGGGATTAGAGTTCTCTCAAGACCCGTTTGGGTATGTCCTCATATGTCGAGGACAAGGACTTTTATTTTTTCTAGTTCTTATGTTTTAATACTTTTGTCTATACTTCGTTTGTAAAGAGCCGTGACCCTATCTTGTTAAAGTTTGTCTAAGATGGCCATGTGAGACTTAGTATTCCGCTACTTTATAAATGATATTTTGATATTTTGGTTTTAAATAAGTTTTAATTTCAAACTATTTCTATATGTCGAATGTAATGAATGCTAAGAGCCTTGAATTAGACCCCTTCGGGGTCGACTACGTCGTGTTACGACTAGGGGGTGCTCTCAGGTCGTGAGAAACTTGGTACTAGAGCATAAGATTTTGGAAATGGTTTTAGGATCAATGTCTCACAAGCCACGTCTAGTAGAGTCTTGTTCATCGGTGTGAGTCACGACACATATATGAGCGAGAGGCTATAGGACGATAGAAAGTTACACTTCTTTCATATTCTTGAAGTTGTGCCTTAGATTGAAGTTCTGTAAGTGTCCTTTTCCTAATCCTTCTCTTGTGTCTATAGGATATGAATACAAGAAGGACGCCCGCAAGGAGAGTGGAAGAGGAAGTGGTGAATGAGTGAGTTCCTCCCCCAAGGTGATCAAGGTCTTCAAGGTGACCAAGTGCCTCAAGAGAATGAATTTCCGGTGGTTCCCCCGAACATGACTAATAAAGAGATTAGGACGGCTTTTCTAACCCAAGCCCGAGCCATGACGGCTCAAGCGAATAGAGATGTGGGGCCTAAGGTGAATGCTAATGAGAGTACCGTTGCCTCAAGATTGAGAGACTTTGTGCAGATGAATCCTCTTATTTTCCTTGGCTCTAACATTGGGGAAGATCCACAAGAAATCTAGGATGAAGATAAGATAGTAGATGCTATGGGAGTAACTTCTAGGGAGAAGGCGGAGTTGGCTTCCTGCCAATTGAAAGATGTGGCCCAAGTGTGGTTCACTCAATGGAAATCCAATAGGCCGGTTGAAGCGGGTCCTATAGAATGGAAGGAGTTTAAGGGAGCTTCCCTAGGTAAGTACTTTCCCCGTGAGAAGAGGGAGTGTAAGGTTGAGGAGTTATAAACTTTAGGCAAGGTAACATGAGTGTGGAGAAATATTCCTTGAACTTTACCCTATTGTCTAAGTATGCTCCATCCTTGGTGTCTAACCCTAGAGATGAGATGAGTAGGTTTGTTACCGGTGTATCCGACCTAGTTAAGGAAGAGTGTCATACGGCGATGCTCCATGATGATATGAATAGCTGTAGACTTGTTATGTATGCTCAATCTATTGAGGAGTCCAAACTTAAGAGGGTGAATAGGGATTTGAAGAGGGGTAGATCCAATGAGCAAGGTCAACCTAGGTTCAAGAAGAGAGCTCCTAACCAAGAATCTTCAAGTGCTCCTAAGGCTAATGAGGAGAAAGGTGGTGGATCTCAATTTTCTAAGACACTTTGTGCCACTTGTGGGAAGAGGCATCATGGGAAGTGCCTAGCCGGTACTAGTGGGTACTATGGGTGTGGCAAAAGTGATCATCAAGTGAGAAATTGTCCTACTCTTATGACTAGAGGAAGGAAGGCCAAACAAGCTCCTTATGATGGCTCGGATCCCAATGCTCCAAAGAAGAACCATTTCAATGTGCTTCAAGCTAACAAGGACAAAGGAGATAATCCAGATGAAGGTACTGGTAAGTTATATTTCCTTTTGTGGTGATGAGATCCTTATGTTGTTTCATGATAGTCATAGTTGGGTTTTCTCCTAAGTGAGGGATGGTTTGTGAATAGTAAGGTTGTTGAGAGTGTTGATATCCTTATCTCTTTTCCTTCTATTTGTATTCAGGCTTGTGACCAAAAGTTCCTTGTAGCTTGTTTCATGTTTTGGAGTCATGTGTGATATTGAGTTTCCATGGTCTCTTTATGTTGTGCATGTTCTAGTTGAATTCTTGTTTAAATGAGCAAAATGAGTTTTCAAATTGTGTTCCTCATGTTAATATGAATCTATGATGAGTTGCCTAAATGTTTCATGAGTTGACTTGTCGAGCATGCCTAAATGTGCTTTTATGAGAAAATATCACAATGTGCCTATTAATGTTGTAATGAGAATGATGTGACTTGGAGAAGGAAGTTCCTCCAATGAAATGAGAAATAAGATGTTTTGATGCATAATAAGTTTGTAGATGTAGTTCCTACCTTCTAGTTGTGTTTGAGCTTATTGATGTGGAGTCGATCTTTCCTCCTATATTTATGCATTTATATTGATGTTGCATGCATGATTGTGGTCTGCTAGTCTTGAGTCGTTACCCCTTAATGTGTTTAAAGTGTCATTCGAGGACGAATGTTCCCAAGTGGAGGATAATATAACGACCCTAAAAATGAACTAGTGAAACTAGAGCCTAACGTGTGTGTGTTTGTGGTTGTCTTGAGGCTTGATGGTGTTTCATGTTGTTCAAAGCCTTGGTTGAGGGCTTTAGGGGTCCAACGTCAAGGTACGACTCCCCAAGGACCACCCTAAGGGTCCTTGAGTAGGACCCTAAGTCTAACCCCAAGGCTGCCCCAAATGGCCAAAGTTGGCCGAAATTGGGTGACCTACGGAAGGGGTCCATGCCCCGTAGGTCCATCCACGCCCCGTAGGTCCATCCACACCCCGTGGAAGGCCTTTGTAGGTCAGGCCCCTCCAAACCATGCAACAGCCCCAGACCATGGACCAACAGCTCCGTGAATGGACTCACGTCCGCGAGTCTAGGGCGTGAATGGCCACTGTGTTGCTGTCAAGTGACACGGCCAACTTAGGGGTGAATTGGTAAATTCACCCCAAGTCCCAATTAATGTGTGGACAGTTATTTTAAGTGTTTTCAGGTATTTTAAGAGTATTAAAGCATTAGAAAGATATTTTAGAATTCATTATTCATTTTTCCCCAAAAACAAAACCCTTCCCTCCTAAAGGTTCTCTCTAGAAACTCCATTGGAGATCAAGGTAAAGAGAAAGCTAGGGTTGGGGATTTCAAGGTATTTGTTCTTCAATTTCATGGGATTTTTCAAGTATAAGGTATGGTGATCCTTCATCTAGGGTTAGTTTTCACCCTAAAGTCAATTTCAAAGAAGTTTCTAAGTTTCCAAGTTTCGTGAAAAACTCTAGGTTTTTACTCAATCTCATGGGTTCTTGCATCGAACGTTTTCCAATGATAAACTATGATTATATTGATGTTTAATTGATGATTTGATATGAAAATACTCTATGAACCCATGATTTCTATCAAATTTTAAATTGTGCCTTATGAAGTGGGTTTGTTGATTATGAATGAATGTTGATGGATTTATGCCTAGATTGATTTAGATTATTGATATGTATCATCATCTATGTCTAATTATGGTGAATTGAGAAATTGTGATCATAGCTTTGAAAGGGAAAGTTTTGACCTAATTTCATGTTAATGTAGAATTGTGCTTGAATTGTTGATCCACCAGAAGGTGGAGGTGTTACTTACTATGTACATTGTGATCATGGCCATGAAGGCATGGTGTGATGAATTGAAGTATTATCATGATGTTGTATAATGTGAAGGATTTACATGTGATTCAATGATAGAATGATGATCTTGTATTCAAGGTATTTGTGTTAGTATTGAAAAGCTATTTCTCAATTTGACACTCATGAACGAAAATGATGAAATATGAAGGGTTCCTATAATGTGAATGTTGAATCTAGAATTGGCAGGCATTATGCATCCTTTTCTTATATAATGAATGTGTCTTGACTTGATGAATATGAATCGATAGGCTATGGCATTCCTTTCATTTATGAGTGATGAATGTGTCTTGACTTGATGACTATGAATTGATAGGCTTTATGCATTCTTTTAATAAATGATCTAATGTAATATATGAAGACTCTAGAATCGATAGGCTAGTGGCATTCCTTTCTTAATGAGTCAATGTATCATGAATCGATAGGCTAGTGGCATTCCTTTCATGAGTATAAGAAAGTAATGAGGGCCATGAATCGATAGGCTTATAGCATTCCTTTCATATGGACCCTAGAGTTATCCTTGAATGTACCATGGATCGATAGGCTTATAGCATTCCTTCCTTGGTAATGATGTATCATGGGTCGATAGGCCTATGGCATTCCTCCCCAATACACTAATATAATGTGAATGAAATAATCTATGGGAATGTAGGCTAAGCATCGAGTGGATATAGTTAGATGGAAAATCTCCCAATGTTAGGTTAGAGTTCGAATGAACATCTTCTTATCCCATAACTATATGCCCACATGGGATATTAGCTAGCGGATTCCATCCGAGCTAATGTTAACCGGTTTACCTTAGGCAAGTAGATCAACCCTTACGATGTGGGATAGTACATCGGATTCCATGATCTAGCTCTCATGGTCTATGTCGGTTAAACGCTTATTCCCATCATGTGAGATGTGCACTATAGTTTCTTGATAGGTACTACAAAGTGTAGGTAGTAGTATGGGATGCTATCTATACATTGCATGAGTAGCTTTGAAAGGTCTATAGTGAGTTCTCTAAGTCTTAAATGACTAAATGTATGAAGTCCTCTAAATGCATGAATGTGTCCTAAATGAACCTAATGAAGAATGTTGGCTCAAATGCTTAGATGTAAAGATGCATACTATACTTGGATTGTATTATGAGTTACTTCCTTGTCTATGGTGACTTCAAAGGATTACTTAGTTTGAGGTAGTAGTATGGGATGCTACTTGCACATTGCACAAGTATGACTTAGAGTTGTTTAGATGTTAGTCTTAATGTGATGATGTGATTCATGTTATTTTTATGTGACTTATATGCTCTATCTTGTAAAGGTGAGAAGGATGAATGGTAAGTTCACTTTTGGTGACCTCAAGGTTGTGCCTTAGTATGGGTGGTGGTATGGGACGCTATCCATACATTGCACAAGGCATAGCTTGATGGTAACTAAGGTGGAGGCTCAAGGTGAAGGTAAAGGGTTATATGTGATTTTGCTCAAATGTGAATTATGTGACTTTGTATGTTGGTTGTGACTTATATTATGCCTCTTGTATCAATGTTTCATGAAGTTTTACAAAAATGGCATAAAGCATGACTTTCAACAAAATGTCCCTTTTAAAGCATGTTTTTGCATGATCATCATACTTAGTATATTTATGTGTGCTAACCCATATTTCTCTTATTTTTACTACAAGTATAGGTTCCGGCAGCCTTCTCTAGTGAAGTTTGGGATTAGAGTTCTCTCAAGACCCCTTTGGGTATGTCCTCATATGTCTAGGACAAAGACTTTTATTGTTTCTAGTTCTTATGTTTTAAGACTTTTGTCTATACTTCGATTGTAAAGGGCTGTGACCCTATCTTGTTAAAGTTTGTCTAAGATGGCCATGTGAGACTTAGTATTCCGCTACTTTATAAATGAGATTTTGATAGTTTAGTTTTAAATAAGTTTTAATTCCGCATTACTTCTATATGTCGAATGTAATGAGTGCTAAGAGGCCAGGGTGGAAAACAAGCATACCCTAGTCATTTTAAGGTACTTGATAATATGCTTGACTGCAGTCCGGTTAGACTGAAATCTGCTAACCATGCCTACAGCAAAGCAAATATCCGGTCTAGTGCATAGCAAACCAGATATTGGTCTAGTGCATAGCAAAGCAAATATCCGGTCCCAACATAAATATATTCTATACTCCATCTCTCTTTTTCACTTTGACTGGATATGAACATCATAAAGACAGATCCTTTTAAATCTTTCTCTTCTCAAATTAAGAAATGATTTATTATTAACCTTTTAATTGTCCGTGTATTGTGCAATTTATATAATAGTAATTTCATATTTAAAGATTTTATATAGCATATTTCTTGTATAGAAATAAATACACTGGCACGACCCGGGAGCACCCCCTAGTCGTAACCGGCGTACTCGACCTCGAAGAGGTCTAATACAAGTCTCTTAGCATTCATTCATCGCATAGACACCAAAACCATAAGGAATTAAAAACTTTCTTCACACACAAAGATACTTTCAATAAATAGCAAGCGGAAGACTTTCTAGACTTTATACAATATGTCTCAAAACCATCTAATACCTGAATATAACATTGGGACTAAGCCCACTCAAAACTTAAGCAAATACTAGAGAGCCATAAAAAAGGAACATGTTGGTTATTGCCCTCGAATCTATGAGGACTCACCAAGTCTTCATCTTCAACTCTTAAAAACCTATCAAGTAGCCATGACATATCACCATCTCCAAATCCCTACACTTTAGTCAAAAAGCGAAAGAAAGGGGTTAGCACAATTAAGTACTAAGTATGGAGACCATGCAAGAAAATATGCACAACGGACATTTACAAGAAATGTATGCTTTCATATCCTTTGATAAAACCTTTCTTTTACAAGTATAAGAGACATAATACAAGTCATCATTAACATATAAGACCATAGCCAACCATACATCTACTTAACATAAATCCATATACAACTCATGCTTAACTTTAGAAGGACACATGTCATTTCATTACCATAGGACCTCTACCTAATATAACCTTAAGACACACTTGAGTGAGACAAGAAGTGACCGCCCACACAATCCTCTTCAAGCACACTTAAGTGTTCCCCAAGATTACCTTAGATAAGGACTTTATAGGTAAAGTGCATAATCATACCCGATAGATAGCATATTAATGAGATGATATGTATAATGATGCTTACATAAAATAAATCATATTTAGTGGGGCGTAGTACATGTGTGGTGAGTGACCATCAATATAGTATTTCCAAGGCCTACCACCCCCTTGGAGAGGCGAAAGAGGTACAAACCCCTCAATGTGGTTACCCGGGCCTACCACC